ATCTTGTAAATCATTTTTTATAGTTATTTTAAATTTTTACAGATGATTGTAATTAAAATACTATTAGTATAACTGAAGATTCCTAACCGAGGTTAAATAAAGATCTACTACTACAACTACAAGTGAGACTTTTCCTTAGTTCCCAGGGCCCGCCTTGACGCAATCGTTCCGGGGAAGAGTGGTTTCTGATACTCTTCATCAAAATGGCGGCTCAGAGTATGTGGAGAAGATGGCCTAAATGTCGAGAAGTGCTGTGGCCTTCACATCGATGGAAAGAGAGAGAAATTCGGCCTCTGTGTAGGAGATTTAGTATAGAAACAAAAGAAATGGGTAAACGATTTCCCTGGACTTTATTGGGTTCATTAGCTGTTGGTTTCTCCCTTGGATATCTGTTATCCAAGCACAGAGAGAATGAACTGGCTGGCAATCGTAGCCTGACGGTTGCAGCAAAGACAAAATTTCAGGATGGGGTAAATTCAGCCGATTCTGGATCACCCCCACGATCTGCAACGTTCAACTTTATTGCAGACGCTGTGGAAAAAGCTGCACCCGCTGTTGTGTACATAGAAATCACGGGACGACGCGCGGGATTCGGGTTCATGGGACACACAGGTCCCACTAGCTCGGGTTCTGGGTTTATAGTAACTGAGGACGGTATGCTTCTGACAAATGCACACGTCGTAGAGAACGCTGCAAAAGTGACTGTGAAGCTAAAGGATGGAAGGGAATTTAGTGGCATTGTTGTAGATCTTGACTTTGAAAATGACCTGGCAGTCGTGCAGCTAGAGTCGGATAAGGTACAAACTTATCTAAAATTTACATTTTTAGGGTTTCGTTGCTTTTAGTGGATAATAGCTCAAGAAATTTTCTCAATAACAAACAAAATTGCATGAGTTGATAGGGCCAGCAGTCTTTTAAAATGTGTATTAGTGCTTATTAATTCCAAATTGCACATGAAAAATTGTGATTACATGTTGATAACATAATAAATTATGCAGCGGCAAAGTGGGCTGATATAATGTTTAGATAATAATTTCTAACCCTGCAAATTTTATATGTGTTACTTGGCCACAAAAGTTGTGTTCAATCAAACCAACAATTTTCTTTATGTTGAGACCCCAGCTGAATATTTACTACCCTTTTCTGGCCTGAATAACCTCTCTTCTGCATTGTGTTAACTGGAAACTGCATTTTTTTTCAGCCAATCAGAGTGATAACATAGCAAACAAACAAACATGTAAGGTTTGTTTACCAGTATATTTTAATAATAAGTTAAATACTTCATGCAGGCTCTCTCATCTTCATTCTAGAATATTAAATTCCCAACACTTACCCTTGGTTCATCATCTACAATTAGACCAGGAGAGTGGGTTGTAGCTATGGGCAGCCCTCTCCAGCTCAGTAACACTATAACAGCTGGGATTGTCAGTACAGTGCATCGTGCAGGTGGAGAGATTGGACTTCCAAACCCGGAGATGGAATATATCCAGACAGATGCAGCAATAAATGTAATTTGATTTCCAGCAAATGGAAGTTTTTTACTTACAATACATGATGTTGTTTCAACTTTTTGTAATCACTTTACTCTTAAATCACTGTGGCAACCTTTCTTGGATTTTAGGTGGTCAAATGGTGACTTTGAAAAAAGTTGAGCTTGAAGCCTTGAGGAGCCATAAAAATTCTATTTACACATTGATTATTGGGCTGATTTTAAGTTGAATCTGTTTCTTTCTTAAGGTTGGAAACTCAGGAGGACCTCTGGTTAATCTGGTGAGTATGAAGACATAGAGAAAAGAGTTTGATGATCTTGGAAGAATCCTTAAGATCATGAACAATAATATCAATAAGATTCCCTGTTCCCTGTTTTATACTTTAAATCAGAGATCTTCACTTGGCTTTGTATGAATGGTCATATTTATTAAAAAGGAAGTTAATTACTATTTCAAGCCATGTCTTTCTTTGTTTTATGTAGAATGATATCATTTAGTCATGTCAGTAAAACTCTACCATTCCACCCCTTTTATAATGGTTATGTTACTACCCTTTATTGAATCCTTTTTGTGTTCATTTATGTATACTAACCAACTGCAGACCTGAATGAACAAGAATATTTCTATAGTCATGGTGTTTTCTTTTTCACTAACGTTTCCTTTGCTTCTACATGTAGTTCAGTAAAACAGAGGATAGATTAAAATTTTAAAATGTAAACTACAAGCGTCATCACTACAAGGCTCTTCATATTATTATTAAGGAGATTACAGTTTATCTTACACCTCCTTCTTAGACACACACACAGCCTTGTCCCCAATCACTTTGTAGTTGTCTATGGCACACCAAATCTTTCTTTATTTTCCAAGTGCAAACCTTCATTTCCACAAACTCATTACTGCAACCACCTTTCACCACCTCAACAAACTTATTACCTTGTGTGCATGCCTGATGGTTTTACATTGTAGGTAAATTGAATGGGCACTGCATTTATAACATAATTTTTTACTGTTAGTTGAGATACCAGTTCCTGACTAGACTTTGTTTTGTTTTAGGATGGTCATGTTATTGGGATCAATGCAATAACTGTAAGATTTGCGAGTGGAATTTCATTTTCCATACCTATTGACACTGCTAAAGAGTTTCTATCACAAGCAATAGAGAGATTTAAGAGTGGTAAACTCACACAGAACAAAAGTTTGAAGAGACAACTGGCTCCATATGAACGCTGGTATATTGGTGTCAGCATGTTGACACTGACTCCACAGATACTGGAGCAACTGCGGCGAAGGGACCAAAGTTTCAATAAAGTGAAATCTGGAGTGTTTATTCCACAAGTTAACTATGGATCACCAGCACATAGGTAGGATTTTGAAAAAATTGTTGGGTTAAATCCTTCTCCAAAAATTGTGGCTGAGGAAACTTGGCTTCTGAATAAGCACCCTGATTTTGTTTTTCAGCTGTGAAATAGAGACTTCATAGCTGCAAAAGTGCAGGAATACAATAAATGGGGAATTATGGAACTGTGGATATACAGTCAGGGGTTTTGAGAACTATATCATCTGACTCGAAGCACAAATTTATTTGATATAGTGAGGCACATTGGTCAGAACACAATATCCAGATCATGTATTTTAAAAATTATTCATCTTTAATTTGGAAGCTGTTTTAGGAAAGGTGCTATGGCTTGAACTTCTTGTGCTCCAACTCACCTTTCACTCAGTTGTAATGCTTGTTATTCTGGGATTATAAAACTCAAGAATAGGTTTTCTCTCTCAACCATTCAATTATAAACCAGGAAGACTTTTTTACCTACAATTGGAGATGAAGGCAAAGATTTTATTTTAGACTAATGCTTGAGATACATATGATTTTAAGATGGTTTTAATTATTTCTTTCAGGGCTGGTGTGCTACCTGGTGATATAATAACAAAAATAAATGGCAACAAAATAGTGTCCAATAAAGAAGTGTACCGACATGTAAACAGAGGAGAAACCTTTGAGGTTGAAGTAAAGAGAGGGGATAAGCATCTCAAGTTCACCCTTGAACCTGAAGTTGTGGGATAAATTTTTGTTCAGGGCTTTTACACCTGCCTTGGCACATAATAAATTTGATTAATATTAAATTTCCTACAATTTTTCACTTCACAAGCTGTCTATTTAGGAAGCCCAGTGCAAGAAAATATCCAAAGGATAACCAACTAGGCAGCATAATTTCACACATCTCACTCCCTATCAACCAGTTCCAGAAACTCACTAGAGGAAGTTTCAAAACTACCATAAATTGGTAAAATGATGTGCTCTGATTCAAATAAAAAGCAAATTATGAGGGAATGAGCTGTCACACATGGTCAATGTGTTTGGCAGTGCATTGTGAGGCAGAAGACAACTAAATTCAAAGCAGGTGCCTCATCTTAAAATGTGTATCATTTTAAGCCTTCTCACTACCAAAAGGAGAAAGTTGATCTATTCAAGGGGAGGAAGAGTGACTAATCAAAGAAGAGCAGGAAGTTTCTACCACTACTCAAAGTGCGATTTTAGAACACCTTTTCAATAAACAAATTCAAGATCAATAAATGAATCCAAAGTTTATGAGTTTACACACCAAAAGACTTCCTTGAGATTGGAATCTTGAGTTTTGCATACTTTTTCTATGTACAGTTGTGCATGTGAAAATGTAATAGTACACATTTTTGCTAAAAATGTGTTGCAAAACAGAAAAGACATCACACATGTTTTTCTTGTTCCCAGTAAAAATTTTTATTACAAATATCTCCAACAGTTGAAGTACATAATATAGTTGCAAGATGTGTGCAAGATAATCTTTTTAATAATACTATTATTAAATATTTCAACTTTTTCACCTTTAAGAGAATAAAACCAAACTTAAAATTAAGAATGTAGGATAAAGTATGATGACAAGTGTGCAGTGTTATTATAATTTATATCTCCCTTTAGACTTCCTAAGTATACTGAAGAGAGGATTCTTTGTAAACTGCTACTTAGTTCCTCAACAACTTAAAATTTACCATCATCTTTTTCCATTTCAAGAAAATCCTTGTAAAGTAGACAACTCCCAATTATTATTAGCTACCATTTTATTTCTTTTTAGCCTCATCCAAGTATTAAGGAATCATCGCATTGTTTGTAATTATGGATCACCTACACCACATTATGCAAAATATATTACTGGTACCTGTTAATCCCCACAACAAGAATGTTTCAACCAAGTACAGAAATAATTTTCACTATTTGAAACCAATGTACAAAATATGATGTTGTATAACATTTCTGGAATTCAATATCTCTTTTCGAGCCAATTTGAACCTTCTAAATGACTTGAAAATTAATCATTTTGGTGCATATACAATGTGTCTTAATTTATCACTCTCTGCAGGTTGCATAGACAACCACAAAAAAGACATGATAAATGTTTGATGATCAATTTGAATAAGACAAATAATCCCTTTACAACTACTGTTAAGATCACACCCACAGAAACAGCAGAGACTAAATCCAACAGCCCTGGGGTATACACACACTTCAAACATACTTCAGTAACTATTACTGAAATGAATACAACTCATTTGAAATTATGTGTAGACTCTAATAAATTCAAGGTGATTCCTCTCTTGGTTACCTAAGTTTGCAAAAAAAGCCAGTACAAAGTAAACCCCCCCTGAACACATCCTGTAACTTTATAAATCCCCAAATCCATGGGGTTGGTCCCATATCTTTCCATTAAAAGGGAACCAAACAATAAAGCCACAAATATATTATCTAGATCTATATTTATTGATATACACAAGTTACTGTGTTCATGCAATCAACTAGTCATCCTGTCATCGGCCTTGTACCCTCTCTGTTGCTTTAACAAATGCAATTGCCGCTAATTCCTGTTTCAAAAGGTAGAACTATTTTATTAATATGAAGATTAACATGACAGTATTCATTTTATTCATAACTAAGGAGGGAAGGTTGCATCAGTGAGACACTTGGTTGTACCTTGTGCCAATTTTTTGGGTTTTCACCACATTTTAAGGTCATCTATGATCTACTACTGAACAGATATGTGGCAACATGAAATGTTCTAGTTAAATTAAACCACATTTGTTTTTCTAATACACAAAGCAATAAATGGTAGTTAGAAGGAAGAATTGCTAACTGGATCTTGGGTATTTAATCCTTTAAATCCCAAGATCTGATGGTTAATTCTCCCCTCTAGCTGGTACACATTTCCTTACATAAGTTAGTTGTGAGAATTCAGTGTTAGACCAGGATAACTACTACCTGGTAAGTTTGAGTATTCTCATTACCTGTTTGCTGAATAATGTATGGATATTACAGGGAGAAGTTACATGTTGACTACTTCTGGGAATTGAAGGGTTAAGGGTAAATTCCTCACTAACTTTGTACTGTTGCACATAAATCGGACAAAAGGAAGAACAAAATCATTGAAAACATGCCATATATGTTTTTCTTGTCCACATGCCTTTCCAAACATTACAAACAATGCTACATAAATGTATGCTCTTCTACATGTTCTCACCTTGCAAAATTCCTCTAGTACTATTGCAGCTTCAAGGAGGTTGCTTTCACTGAGACTACAAAATGATAACAGTAGTTTGTTTAAATAATATCAACCCAAATGGTTCAGTAAATTAATTTGTTGACATAGATGATTAATAGAGACTACACTATAATCATAGAGCATTATGAAAAGTAGTATTTGATTTTGTTACAAGTATGGTCACAGCTAACACTTGGCTCTTTAAAGATTAAAATGAAAATAACTTTTCTACTGCTTATAAAAGAATAAGTTATTTTGGCCGCCAGTATAACATACTGCTACTCTGTACAAGTTAACCCTTTACACCTTCACATCAATATCTATATTCTCTTAAATTTCCTATTGTGCTGACAAGGATAATTTGGTTGAAAATCAAGAGCTTCTATAGTTTTTGATAATTTTCTCTATTCTCATGACTTGACCTTAACTGTTTGATTCAGCAGTGATACTGTAAGGAGAGATTAGATCCAGTCACTCTTAGGAGTTAAAATGCATAGGCTGCGTACCTCTTATGCTCAGGTGATGTGGCAAGGCCCATAAGTTGTCTCCTAATAGCAACAACATTTCTCTGAAAGTTGGGTAGTCTTTGTACTCTGCCTCTCAGATCTTGAACAACCTACAAATAATATGTGGATTGAGTAATACAAACATTATTTCATATTAAAAAAAAAATCATACCAGCTTAATTTCTCCTCTTAACTTCTGCAATGAGACATGAAACTTTCAAGTTAACTGAACATTTAGAAAAGGTTATGTTTAGTAAATCATTAAAGCAAACTAGACAGAGGCAAGATTAAGCAAAAATTACAAGTAAAGAAAACCAAGAGGGTAAAAAGACTTCACTCACTTTTTTGCTGACTTTCAAGACACACAAATCAAGTTCAAATATTATTTGACTGATCATAAAGTTTCAAATATACATTATACCTTCTAGTACTCACATTTTGAAGAGTTGAATGAAGAGAGTGGCAGTTTGGTGACAGAGGCAGGGAAGCATTCAGTAGGAATTCTTGTAGTTGAGGATGATTGAACTGTGATAACAATGCTATTACACTTGTAACCTGGAGGTTCACATCATATGGCTGTCAAAAAAAGGAATCTAACTGTTATTTTTATATCTGTCAAAACACCTACTTCCAAATAACAATCTAAACACAGATTTTAAGTAGCCACAAACTTACACATTACAATCACTGTAAAAGCTATAACCTAGAAGTGTCCTTCTTTTTTCTTCCTAACACAGGATGTGTAGTCAGGTAGGGGGGTCACCATTTGCATCTAGGGGCATGCCATGATGTTCAACTAATTAATATAGATTTATATTTATCAATTTTTCTTGGCGTAGAGGGATGAGATGCCTGATATCCTTGATACCTCCTCACTGTACGAATCCTCTATTACACAATGAACCCATATAATATAAATAATTTAATCATGATTAGCCTGATCAAATAAAATACCTGATCTAACAGTCTCTGTAGTTTCTTGAAGAGCATACTCAAGAATGCCCCTTCGTAAAAGTTCTCTCTGCTGTCTTCCACATCTTGGGAAAAAAAAAGTCAAAACTTTAAATAAAATCTCAATTAGTACATGATAGAAAAGTTCATTGCACTTTGATTTATAAAAGATAATCACATATACATGTTCATGAACACACAAACTCAGTATAGGTTGAGATAACTTGAGCAATTTACCATGAGGGGGCACTGGAGTTGAGGGCCAACCAAATGCACCTGTCTGTAAAGCACGCTGATTACACTATGAAAAAGAAAAAGAAAACTAAGAAGAAAAAAAAAACAGGGATTCTCCAGATAAGTAATTAAAAAGAAACATAATGCAATTGAAGTAACTTCAACTATTTACCTGTCTGTGGGCATCTCTCAAGTATGTGTCATAGCCTGCATCACCAATTAGTGCTGATGTTTTTATTTCATCAGGAACTAGGGAAATAAAACTGTTACAGAAACCATTAATAGAGACGAAAATGTGGTGTGAAAATCTGTACAAATACTATTGCCATATAGATTTTTTTTAATGTACCTATTTACAACTTGTTCCACTTCTTCTCTGTCAATATCATTACCAATCTGTCCTGGTCCTAACCCATCTGGAGTGAGTGGAGGGGTGGAAGGTGATGTTGGTGATGGTGGAGGTTTTTTAACAGGAGTTGTAGCTGGTGAAATTTCTGCTTGGCTCTCTACCACTGGTGTGTGAATTGTTGTATCACCATTGGTAACTGTAGGCGCAGCATGATACTTTCTGGTTTTCAGGTTTCGGAGTACAAGATTGTCTAGAATCATATCACAGGGTTTGTCGAGTAATGTCTCAAACAATTTTAGTGTTTCTATACTGACCTGAAAATAGATAATGAAACAAGGAAGGAGTTGGCAGCTTCAATACCCTGGGTTAGCAAAATAAACTAGCCCATAGGGCAAACAAAAAACATTAAAATTTGAAAGTTGACTGTAACATCTTATCCACATGCCTCATCAGATAAGTGATCACATCTTTCAATAAGTGTCTGCCGTAATTTATGATCTCCAGCTTGAAATGCAG